TTCCATTTTCCTCTTGGACCAGCCGTGATAGGTGGTCGGCGACGACATTTTCCGTTCCTTTCTTGTCACGAATTTCAAGATCGAATTCTTGTAGCAAGAGTATCCAACGGATCAACTTGGGTTTGGCCTCTTTCTTAGAAAGCAAATATTTCAGAGCAGCATGATTGGAATAAACAATCACTTTAGACCCAATCAAATAAGAGCGGAATTTATCCAATGCAAACACTACGGCAAACAATTCTTTTTCTGTGGTGGAGTAATTTAACTGGGCATCGTTCAATGTTCGACTGGCATAAGAAATTACATGGAGTAATTTATTTTTTCTTTGACCCAAAACTGCGCCAACTGCATAGTCACTAGCATCACACATAATTTCAAATGGCAATTCCCAATCCGGTGCAACTATGATGGGTGCTGAGGTAAGCTTCTTCTTCAAAGTACTGAAAGCCTCCAAACATTCTGAAGTAAAATTAAATGCGGAATCCTTGAGCAATAAATTACAAAGGGGCTTTGTAATTTTGGAAAAATCTTGAACAAATCGACGGTAAAATCCGGCATGACCCAAGAAACTTCGAATGCCCTTGACTGTGGTGGGCGGTGGCAACTTAGCAATGGTGTCAATTTTCGCTTTGTCAACTTCTATACCTCTTGCTGAAATTTGATGCCCCAAAACAATTCCCTCTTGTACCATAAAATGGCATTTTTCCCAATTTAAAACTAAATTGGTTTCTTCACATCTTTGCAAAACTAAGGCCAAGTTATGTAGACATGAATCAAAGGAAGAGCCAAAGATAGAGAAGTCGTCCATGAATACCTCAATAAAACGTTCCACCATGTCGGAAAAAATGCTCATCATACACCGTTGAAAAGTGGCCGGTGCATTGCATAGGCCAAATGGCATACGTCGGTACGAAAAGGTGCCAAACGGGCATGTGAATGTGGTCTTCTCTTGATCTTCAGGAGCTATTGGTATTTGATTATACCCAGAATACCCATCCAAAAAGCAGTAGTGCGAATGCTTAGCTAATCTCTCCAACATTTGATCTATGAATGGAAGCGGGAAGTGATCTTTACGGGTTGCTGAATTTAATTTTCTGTAGTCGATGCAAACTCTCCATCCAGTTGTAGTGCGGGTCGGCACCATCTCATTGTTTTCATTTTTGACAACAGTGATCCCACCTTTTTTTGGCACAACCTGCACAAGGCTCACCCAACTACTATATGATATAGGATAAATAATACCGGCATCTAGTAATTTAAGTACCTCAGTTCGGACAACGTCCTTCGTGTTTGGATTGAGTCGACGTTGATGCTCAATGGAAGGTCTGAAACTGTCCTCCAATAAAATGCGGTGCATACACTTGGAAGGGCTAATTCCCTTGATATCTGCAATTGTCCATCCTATGGCAGCTTTGTGCTGTCGCAAAATTTTTAACAGTTTCTCTTCCTCTGCAGTGTTCAAATTAGCAGCAATAATGACAGGAAGAGTATTATTTTCACCTAAGAAAGCGTACCTTAGATGTGATGGAGAGGCTTTAAGACCAAGGAGGGGGCAGCAATGGTGCTTGGTTGCAGCTTAGGGGGTGCTTCATCGAGTGGTTCGAATTCCGGCCACTTATCTTTAATTTTTGGCTTTTATGCATCCAAGTATTGTGCCATCTCAATAATTTCCTGATTTGCCATCTCCTTGTTATTGTTGTGGACTAAACAAGCCTCTAATGGATCACATGGATGTTCTTTTTCAAAGTGGGAGGATATATCTCTTTCCAATGTATCCATCAGTATGCATGTTTCTTCACTTTCTGGATAGAGTAAAGCTTTATACACATTGATTGCCACACTCTTGTCTGCTACCCTTAAAACCACAAGACCTTGTTCAACGTCAATTAGGGTCCTCCCAGTGAGTAAGAATGGCCAGCCCAAGATGATTGGTGTATGGCCATTGGTTTCCATATCTATGACAAGAAAATCTGCGGGAAAGACAAGGGTATCAACCTTAACAATCACATCTTCGATCAAGCCTTTGGGTAGTGTAATTGATCTATCCGCCATCTGCAAAGAAACCGAAGTAGATTTAATTTCCTCCCCCAAACCCATTTTTCTAGCAATAGATAAGGGCATTAAATTAATGCTAGAACCTAAATCACACAGCGCTTTATCAAAATAAATAGAACCAATTGTGCAAGGTATATCGAAACACCCTGGATCTTTCTTTTTCTCTGGCAGTTTGTGGCCTTGCAAGATGGCGCTACATCTCTTGGACAACTTTACTGTGGGGTTGTTCCCCAATTTCTTCATTGAAGTTATGATATCTTTCATGAACTTGGCATATGTGGGCATTTGTTCCAGTGCATCAATGAAAGGAATATTGATCTCCAATTTCTTAAGAATGTGCAAAAATTTCTCAAATTGCTCTTCAATTTTCTTGCTCTTTAAACGTTGCGGGAATGGAATTTCAGGGACATAGGATGTGGCTCTCAGTTGTCCAATTGAACCATCTTGTTTGGCAGCTACTGGAACAGCATTGGCCGCTGCTGGAAAAGCAATGGCAGCTGCTAGAACTTTCTTCTGTTGCTCCTTGCTTGCGGCAGGAAGCTCTGTAGCGTGCTCTTGGTCCAAATCAACGGCTGTCTTGATTGGTCGTCCGTTCCGCAATGTAATAGCCTTAGCTTGCTCCACATTCTTCAGGTTTACTTCCGTTTGGCTGGGCAATGTACCCGACTCTCTTTCTGTCAAAACTTGACCCTCTACTTTGATGGTTCTTCTACGTCAAATGGTGGAGGAGCAGGTGTGGTACTCATTGTTAACGAAATTGTAGAGCACGAAATCGTAGCAAAATAGTGTAGTGGTAAGTCAGTATCGTTCCGCAGAGACTAAGACTAATTAACTGAGTACTGATTATGATTAATCCTAAACTTTATCTGGATATTCGAATGGTGAGACTTTGATTTGAATTACGTAAGCAATTAACAAGAATTAACTAACATAAACAATAATAAAATTCGGCAAACACTGATGGTATGAGCACTAGGGTTCAGACTTCACCATAGCCAATTCTACCGGATTCCTGTAGCCAGTTAATCCTAATTATTATCCATGTTAATGATAAATTTCCCTTAATTATTCAATATGACATACCTGTCTATACCAAAAGTGTTCCTACAACCGTCCCACTCTATGTCTAGATGAAGAACTAAGAAGTAAAAACCCGTTAAGTTCTATGGAAATTTATGGAAATCACACAAGCCTCGATTAACCTTCCAGTTCACTCAAGTAACCTATGGTATCAATTACTAGAAGCAAAATCCTAAGTTGGATATTCCTATCGTCAACTCAAGCATCAAATCAATTAAGTGGTGATCAAGCACTTAAAGCATTAAGAACGGTAAAAGATACTTAACATGGAAAATAATATCAAATTAACATAAACACATAAATAAGGTATTCATGGCTAGGCTACATCGTAGCCCTAGCAAAAAGGAAATTAGAACATGATAAACTTATTGAGAATCACAGAGTGGTTGATGGTAGACATGAAGATGAACTCGAAAACTCCCAAAAAGCTCCAAGGTGGCTGGCGGCAGCAGGACTTCTCTTTTGCAAGAATTGGGTATTTTCGGGTAGTGAAAGTATGGATCCCCTCTATGAGGCCATCCCTAGCTATATATAATACACAAATCCTAAACCTAGTTACAATCAAATACTACCAAAAGTAGGTTTCCCAATATCTTTCCCAATATCTCTTTGATTGCTTCTCCAAATTCCACAAGGATTTGACCAAACTTCCTCCTTTAAGCTTTGACCGGTTGACTGCCTTCTATGAAACATCTTCTTTGTCTCCAATTAATCCTTGTTGTATATTAGGGATCAACTACAAAATTCTCACAAAATACATTAAACCCAACAATTTAATCCAAGAAAATTAACAAATAAATAAGTAAAGGAGGCATAAAATATATGTAAAATATGGACTTATCACTCATCAACCCCGGAGGGCAAGCCACGGCCCTCTCGTTAAAACTAAATTTCCCATGCACAAATAATGTGGCGGAGTATGAGGCGTTCATTATGGGATTATCTACAGCAAAGGAAATGGGCATAGAAAGGATTAAAATCATTGGCGATTCAAATATGGTGCTAAGTTAGTTACAAGGAAGCTTTGCTGTGAAAGAAGCAACATTAGAACCATATCGCACATCTGCTGAAAAGCTTGTCAGTTCTTTCTAGAAGGTGCTGCTGAAACATATCCCTGGAGTAACTAATAGGTATGCAGATGCCTTGGCTACGTTGAGGTCAAAGCTCTCATTTATCCAAGAGCAACCCAACATCACCGTAGTAAAGAGAGATGTTCCAGCAGTTGAAGCAATGGCTCAAGAGGAGCCGCTGGAAGAAAAAGATTGGAGAAAATCAGTAAAAGAAAAGTTGAGCGAAGGAAGCAACATCAAGGACTTGAAGGACTATGTGGTTATCTTTAGCGAACTCTACAGACGCCTGCCGGGAGGTATTCTGACCCGCTGCATAGGACTGACAGAGGCACAAAGAAGACTTTGAGAGGTACATGAAGCCACTTGCAATTTGGAGCCAATAATCAGCCTATACCGACGCCTACAACGCAAGGGTTATTATTGGCCAGAAATGAAGATACAAGCAGCTGAAGTTCAAACCAATTGTCCCAATTGTGCAACAATACCCTCCACCGAAGAGTCATTCACCATTTCATTTGCGAAAGATTGGAAGATGCCATACTTGGCATTCTTTATTGAAGGAATTCTACCAAGCAACACTAAGCATGCCCACAAGCTCAAAAAGACGCAGAAGAGATACTTCATAGATGGATCCACTCTCTATCACAAAGGGTTTAATGGTGAACCTTTGAAATGCTTAGGAGAATATGAAGCGCAGCAAGTGATGCAGGAAATTCATGCTGGAGAATGTGGTGAACACCAAGGGATGAAAAGACTCTATCGGCAGCTGCTGAACGTCGGGTATTATTGGCCCACCATGAAGAATGATGCATACAATTTCGTGAAGAAGTGTCATACATGCCAAGTTCATGCCAATCTAAGTCACAAGCCTCCCACGTTATTGCAGGACATGCGTACTCCTTGGCCTTTTCACACTTGGGGGCTTGACCTGATCGGAACTATCCACCCGCCTTCTGATGGTTATATATGGATCCTCACAGCCATTGAGTATTTCACAAAGTGGGTTGAAGCAATTCCTCTTCGAAAGGCCACGGGGGCTGCCGTTGCAAATTTCATCCGTGAATACATCGTCTGCAGATTCGGAATCCCATACAAGATCGTCACCAACAATGGTACCCCATTTGTTAACAAGCAAGTAAGCTCGACATTTAGCGGCTATGGCATCAAGCATCGTCGTTCCACACCATACTACCCGCAGGGAAATGGCCAAGCGGAAGCCACAAATAAAACTTTGTTGAGAATCCTAAGCAAGATGGTGTATGAGTATGAAGGAGGCTGGAGTGTCCACCTGCCGGATGCTTTATGGGCTTACCGCCCCTCTCCAAGGAGCGCCACGGGTTTCTCGCCCTATTCGCTTATGTACGGTTTCGATGCCATATCTCCCATCGAAATCACTAGCCCCACTGCTAGAGTATCAGCTGTTAATGACCTTGAATGGGATGCAAAGACATGCTCGGAGTGGCGCTTGTTAGATATCGAGGCTTTGGATGAGAAAAGAGTGGAAGCCAAAAGAAGAACAGCACTTTACCACAGAACCATTGCCCAAGCTTACAACAGAGCAGTCAAGCCGCAAGCCTTCAAGCAAGGAGACCTCGTGCTAAAAGTCTTCGAGCATGTGAGGAGACAAGTATCGGGACCTTCCAAGTTTGCCCCGCAATGGGAAGGACCATTTGCAATCAAAGAAGTTTACAGCAGCGGCTATTATCGCTTGATCTCTGTCAAAGAAGGCATGCTAACGGATCCCATCAACTGGAAGTGGCTCAAACCTTACTACTGCTAAGTCGATTTTATAGTCTGCACTTTCATTATTGCATTTCTTTTCATTTCGAATATGAACTCCTTCTATGCCCTCACTTGGTATTTTTAAAAACTCTTGTATGATGCACCATTATGGTAGCATGAGCTTTGCAATGAAGATGAAGGAGTATTTTGAAAAAGAAAATCTGCCTCTGAACTATTATTTTCCTTTATGTATCACCAAACTTACCTTGCATCAAATACTATATATATATATACGTATATAATAATAATAATAATGAAAAAAAATATACATGCCACTTAGCAGTAAAACATGCCAAGCAAAGCCACTTGGATGGGGTCCCAAATCATCAACAAGCATCACGCCTAAGCAAAATGACATATGCCAAGCTATTACAAAAAAAAGGAGCATGCAATTCTTGGGGTGCTGGAACAACGGAATCATTGTACCCCCTCAATAAGCAATGCAAAACATCTGGAATTTTGGTAAAAACCATGCACACTAGTCTGGCCCTTTCAAGGCATGACAAGAAGGTGTTTTTCAGGCCTAATAATTAGACAAGCCATGCAAAGGAAATTTAGGAATTCAGCTCCCACCAAAATTTTGGCATCATATGCCTTGTTTTTTTTAAGATACCCAACCTGTCAGAAAATCTCAAAAAAAAAGGAGGGGTTTCATAAGGACAGATTTTCCCAACCAAGCAGCATATATATGAAATACGGGGACTACAATATGTTTCAAGTATTCAGAAATTGTTACAAGCCCCAGCGGTTCAGAATTACATTGCAAAATTATAACGACATAGTCGTTAGATTATCCAAAAGGTACACAGTCATAACAAAAAGAAAGATATCGAGGTTATACACGCTGAAGGTTCATGCATCCTATTGAAACAAAAAGGACGGGAATTGTGCACCAGGCCGGTGGACCCCAAGGAAAATAACCTGCAAGCAAGAGGAAAAGGAGCAGTAAGAGCGTGTGTCAAAACTGGATGATGCTGGAAGAAGCAGCCTAGCAGTGAAGGGGATGAGATGGCAACAAGAAGAAAGACGAGGGGATAGGGAATCGGAAGTGTAACATACCATGAAACTATAGAGAATGTCCAAAAAGGACGGAGGATGCCCTATGAGACAACCTGGCTGCTACTTCTGTCACACACTCTGCACCATCGACAAAGACGCCTCTCGCAAGAAGAAGATCATGTAATTCCCGACATTGAGTCTCCAATTCTTGCCGCCTAAGGTTCAAGGCATCAGCCGCAATCTTCACTTCATCCGAACCTGGCATCAGCCCCATGCCATGAAGAGTTCGCGCCCCAAATACGGCTCGCGCCAAATTCCTCACCAAGTTGAGGAGAAAATCCACATGGAATCCTAGGGTCATAGCCTCGTAGATGGCGTCTCGCCAGCAAAGGAGTCGGTGATCTGTGATGTCCAAAAGCTCCATGGTGTCCATCCCGTGAAGTACCAAACCCAAAGCCCGGAAGGCGGCGCTCCTGGAGAAGGATGAAGTAATACCCGTGACCTCTGCAAAGCATCCGTACTTGTCCATGAATCTTCTCAAGACTCCAATTATTTCTGGATACACGAAGGCACCTTGGAATGTCGCATACCCATCGAACCTGTAACAGAGAGGGAGGAGTTCGTCGATGGACCAAAGAATCTTGACACCGCCATCAAAGAAGGCTTTGAACGCCATAAAGGAAGTCTCCCAATCTTGCCAAGACATGCTTTTTTCCGATGAGCACTCTACAACAGAAACTTTTGTGGAAGTACTGCCAATTGGATGGCCCACATCAAGGACGTCACCAGGAATTGACAATGCTGGAAGGTCTGGAGTGGTGCTAGCAGCTATGTCAAGGAGGACTGAAGCAGGAATCGATGCTGCTGGAAGGTCTGGAGTGGTGCTAGCAGCTATGTCAAGGAGGGCTGAAGCAGGAATTGATGCTGCTGGAGGGTCTGGAGTGGTGCTAGCAGCTATATCGAGGAGGGATGAAGCAAGAATTGATGCTGCTGGAAGGTCTGGAGTGGTGCTAGCAGCTGTGTCGAGGAGGGCCAAAGTAGGAATCGTTGCCGCTGGAAGATGCGAAGTAACAATGGCAGCAGCATCAGTCGGAGGAGTAAAGGGTACGCCTTCCGCGCCTTGTGGAGCGCCCTCAACCTAAGAAAAGAAAGAAAAGCAAGCCTAAGTGATGAGAGACCCAAGAAGAGGCTAAACCGGAACATAGAAAATGGAGAACAAGGGGTGGGTACCTCGTCGGCAGTCTGCATAGTGTCAACGGTAGGAAGACTAGGGCCAACCTCCGAAGAAGGATATGTCGTGTCCATAACAGTAAGGACCACCTGCAAATATATATATATATATATATATATATGTGACAGGGCACGAATTGTGAGTTGAAGCAGGCAACACGCAACACGTATATGCAAATGCAACAAACAAGAAAGATCTCCGATACCAATTCAAGATTCATGCGTCGCTCGGGGCTGCTAGCAAGTCCGGGAGGCATATCTGAGGTATCCGGCTCCTCTGAGTAAGTATCAGCATCCGGGTAGGTGCCCTCATCACAGCTGTAATACTGGTCCTCGTCAAGGTCCTCGTCCGTGCCATTCGTGCTGTGAGTACTCCCTTGCTCGTGGGTGCTAATCCCAGTTCCTACAGCATCATCTTCGTTGCTTCCATCATCATCATCATCATCATCAGCTACCACTACTACATCAGATCCTGAGTATGCGCCTTTGCCTCGGTGAGTGCCAGCAAATTGTGTTTGAAGTATACGCATGCTCCGGCGTCTCGGAACCATGGGGGCTTTCTCGCCCTTGCCTCGGGCTTGGGAAGTACCTGTAAAACAAAAGGAAGAAAGC